TTTTGTGCTGAACACAATAGCTAAGTAAAATACCATCAGGATCATTTCAGACTAGAACTACACTTTAAGGTGAGGGTGACAGGTAGGGCATGAGGTGGTGGCATCAAGAGCCCATGGGGCACTACAAATGCAGATGAGATGGAGCACTAAATGGCATCAGAAGGGAGTGATGCAGTTAAGATGCAGAAATTAGAGGTATGCTTTTAATTAGATTCTAAATGAGTATAGTAGAGGACTTCACCTGCTACAGTGAGGTTAGCTGGTCTTGGAGACTTTTACATCCTAGGACCTGAACTGATCAGTTCTGTCAAGATTTTTTTTTTCAAAAGATCTGGACAGAGAGAGGAAGGATAAAAGGAAAGGGGGAAAAACCCAAAAAAACCCAGGATCCTGGGGTAGAAAAAAGTTCTAGCTCCTTCTCAACAGAATTCTACTCCATACATTTCACTCTTTTTTTTTATTCTTTTTTTTTTTTTTTTTTTGAGGATGAAGCAGCTCACAAGGACAGCAGGACCCAGGCAAGCAAAGAATATAGCACCCCGAACACTCTACAGAGAAAAGAGAAACTTGGTAAGAAGAGGTAATTAATGTCTGCAAATTAGTGAGTGTTAGTGAGTGCTCTCACCACCCAATGACTGGAAAAGGGTTACAGGTGAGAGAGGTGAAAGGAAAAGGTATAACAGGTGTCTGCAGAACAACTTTTTCTTTTGAAATCAAGCAAGTGCTTTTGCTACAGAGATCTGTCAGGAAAGGCACAGTGAGAGTTCCTACTCCACCAGCCTGCAGCTCCAGAAACCACTGCTGTATATTCCTCTGTCTTTGTATCCAGTGCACCAGGCCACTTTCCCACAAAAAATGAACTGTGACCCAGCAGATCCCTGTGGAACAGCTCTGTGATTGAGATCCCCAGGCAAACTATGCAGAAACTTCAGGCCGTCAACATCAACCTGTACTTCCCCAGCTAAGCAGCATTCAGGTCATTTGTGGAGCAGATTTTGATGGCCAGAGACATGAGCTGGAAGGCAGAGCCCTGGGCTGCAGCACTGAGATTGCCCAGCAAGCCTCATAACCATAAGATGGGCAGCAGTTATCCCACACAAGGCTTTAGTTTTTGCTTTAGTGCAAGGAACAAGCAAGACACACCAGCTCCCAGGCTGTGATTTCATGGTAGTGCAGCCAGCTTGCTCCCTCCCACCCACTGTGCCAGCCAAGCTTTTGGTGCCAGCTGCGTGAGGAGCAAGACCAGAAATGGATCCAGCTGGGGAGAAAGAAATATCAATTCACAAACCAACAACAAATAAGGGAAGGTGGGAAATCTCTGCAAGATCCATTCTCTACTATGGTTCTTGAACTAACTTCACCAGCAGTGCCAGGGGCAGGAATGAGTGGGCTCTGTAAGGAAGGAAGGGGATGCCTAAGCCAGCATTTCAGCAGTACTCATGATCACTGGATCCCAGGACGGGTCCGTTTGGAAGGGACCACAGTGGTGTCAGCTGGTCCCACCTCCCTGCTCCAGCAGGGCCATCCCAGAGCACAGGGCACAGGATTGTGTCCAGAGGGGTCTGGAACATCTCCAGTGAGGAGACTCCACACCCTCTCTGGACAATCTGTTCAATGCCTGGGCACTGCCCAGGGCAGAAATTCTGCCTCATGTCCAGGTGGAACCTCCTGGGATCAGTCCCTGCCCGTTCCTCTGGTGCCATTGCTGGGCCCTGGAGCAGAGCCTGGGCCCTGCTCTGACCCTCCCTGCACACAGGGACACCCAGGGCTGAGGGCCCCTCTCAGCTGGGGCTCCTCTCCAGGCTGGACAGCCCCAGCTCACTCAGCCTTTCCTCATAAGAGATGCTGCAGTCCCTTTGTCAAACTATTGCCTCTGTTGCTTTCAGCCAGACTGGCAGCCCGGGACTTACAGGCCTTACACAACTGGCTCACCCAGCTCCACCTGTTTGCAAACACCAAGCCCTGTTTTACATTACTTATGCTAAGATAACGATAGCTTTGCTAGAAAAACACACTATATATTAACTCTTCCCCAACCCAGGAAGAGAAGCACCTGATCGTCAGCCCCAGGTATGGCCCAGGTAGGAGTCAACACCTATCCAGCTGACAGTAGAAGCAAGATGCTAGAGAGCCCTGACCCACAAGAGATGGTTTCTGATGCCATCCTCATTGCAGTGCTACAGAACCAGCTTGGAGAAAGAACATCAAGAGAATAAAAGGCAACTGAAATCAATTAAAACACCCTGCTGACTTGTCCTCCAGCACCAGTAACACTCTAATTCTTTGCTCTGCATCAGTGCCTAAGAGTCATCTCCTCCTAAAGGAAATAAGCTACTTGATTTACTGTCAAGTAAAGGGCTGTCACAAATTCACATGCTAGCAATTGCAGCTGAGGGACTCCCCACATGCTGGACCTTTTAAAGAGAAAACATGAAATGTTGCTTCTGAGCTGCCCTGGGCAGATGGCTATGACATAGGAGATTTCCCAAGTAGGTGAAGAAAAGGTGAGAAAGCTCGGCTGTGGTCATTTAAGTGGCTCTGTGAGCTGAGCCAGTAGAGGTCTCTCTTCCACTAATAAAAATAAATAAATATCTATATTCATCTGTGTATGCATATGTCCTCACTTGGGATTCCTCGGTCTCGACCTAGAATAAAACATATACATCCGGAAGCCAGCAGCTCAGATGGGAACAACCATTTGTTCCAGAAAAAAAAAGTTAAAAAAATGGAAGTTGGTGTGGTGTACCAGGTTACCAAGCTCATGGTATCAACTCCAGGCTTCACATCTGGCAAGAAAAATTTACAGTGTGGTCAGTCCCAGACCTCCAGCTTTTCTCCCCAAAGCAAGTGAGGACCAGAACTGTACTTGCTAGGACATAGACATCTCTTGCAGCATGCCCAGGCAGCAGGGGATAGGAGCCCTTTCTGCACTTGTCTTGCCTGGTTTCATCCTGGGTAGAGCCAATCATGACAGAAAGGCTTTATCAGGCAACAGTTGGGTGTTTGGCCTCCATGTAAAGAACCGCTGGGTCGTTGTGGGGGAAGAGTCTGGAGCACACAAAATGGGGCGTCTGCCCACGACTGGAATCCGTGTTTGAAGACTCAGATGTGAGGCCAAGGATAAAACTGGAATGAAACTAATGTTCCTGCCTGCTGTCTCCTCCAAACAGCTGCAGGCGCAGTAGGACGGCCAGGTATAAAAGCCTGAGCTGGCACAGCCTGTCTTTGCGGATGGGGAACGCTGAACCACAAGGTGTGCTGCTCCCTGCTTCCACCCAGAGCTGGCCGGCAGGTGCCAAAGCTGCCGGGAGGAGCGGGGCAGCCCCTGCCAGCACAGCACAGAAAAACAGCACAGCACAGAAACACAGCACAGAACAGTACAGCACAGAACAGAACAGTACAGCACAGAAAAACACAGCAGAGCACAGCACAGAACATGTAAACACAGCACAGAACAGCACAGAAAAGCACAGCACAGCACAGCACAGCCTGCCACAAGCACACATCCAGGTCAGCCTGGTCCAGCTGGGCCACGGACTGGTGTCCTCCACTGCAGTGACATCCCGCAATGTGTCAGCTGCAGCAGCAACCTTCCCCTTCTCCAAAAGCCAGAGCCAGGGAACTGCCCTCCGAGACCTGAGAGCGGATCCCCACAGGATCCTACAACCCCTCAACAGCAAACAAACTGCCCATGGCTTGTGGAGAACCTGGATCAGCAGGTTAATTAAAACGGGGAAGGTACACACAGCCAGGCACGGCTGGGAAATGGGGGGAATTCCAGATGGGTTACAAAGCGGCAGTAGCTTTGTTTTCTCCAGGGAGAAGCAGGGAGTCTGACACTCCTTTGTTTTTAGGCAGTTGCACTTGGTATATTATCATTACATATTAACATGTTATTTTTATATTTTTATTATCGTTATTAATTTTATATTACAGAAAAATATACATTTGCCTGCTCTTTAAGTGAAGTGAATTGGGAATGATTTTTATTAGAAAGCAAAAAAATAGAGAAGAAAACCACATTTTCCTCTATTTTCTGGCCTAATTTTCAGTCTTGCAATGACTGATGTGGGCAAGACAGAAAACAGGCAGGGAGAGGAAAGGCACACAAGCTGCCTGGATGGAGGAGGTGGCTGAGCCTGGATGAAGCACAGCAAACCACAAGTGCAGATACAACCCACCCAGCAGGAAAAAAATGCCTTTTTTCAGCTTCAAAACTAAATGAAACATCAGAGGTGGGGGAAAAAAAAAATCAGTATTAAAAAAGTATAGAAAGTCTCCAAGGTTTTACCAGTAAAATGAAAACAGAAGACATCTAATTTGGGGAAAGAGCAAAACAATTCATACAATATAATCTTATTATTTTACTGCAGATCACACATTTTGTTAAAGCCACTATACTGTAGCCTTTTTATTTTGGTATTTTAAAAATAATAATAAATTAAGATAGTAAATTACTTTTTAGAAAAAATAAAAAAGACAAAATGCTGTAGGATGTCAAAACAAAAACATGTTGACATTTCCTGAAGTGCAGTATTTTCTTTTGAAAATGAAATTCGGGGTTTTTTTCAGCTGAAGCTACTGAGAAGTACAGATGGGTACGGATGTCAGAAAACATCGCGTTCCAGCTAATTTCCTCATCCGAGGAAGAGGAGGCTGGCTCCGCAGCTGAAAAGCAGTGGGTGTTAATACTGACTTTCAGGACACTTTGTTAGTACTTTTTCTTCCCGCCAAACGTCTCCGGTGAAAAAGGGCCAGATCCACGTCCAAAATCCTTCCGCTAAGGAAGGGGTCAGACCTCTCTTCTCTGGCACGGGAGCACGCGGCTGTGCAGAAGGGAACGCCAACCCTTCCTGCAGCACGGCAGCGCCGAGAGGGGAAGCGGCGCTGCCCGGCGAGCAGAGCGGGAGCGCTGCGGGGCGCGGGGGCTGGCGGGGCGCCGGTGCCGCGGCGGGACAGCCCCGCACCCCGGGGCCGCGCTGCCGGGGGCGCGCAAAGCGAGAGGGGGAGGCGGGCGCTGCGTGCGCACCCCGCGGGGCGGCAGCGCGGTTGCATCAGACGGGGCGGGCCGCGCTCCGCCCTGCCCTTCCCCCGCTGCCGCCCCGCCCGGCCCGCGGAGCGCTGCCAGCCGCACCAAAGCAGCGAGGCAAGGTTGCCTCCAGCCGCCCGAGGAGGAAACGTTGCGGCGGAGAGGAGAAAGGGAGAGGGGGGAAATAAAATTTAAAAATGTGCCCCCGCCGCGCGGGCACGGCCCCGTCTCCAGTTCCCCGCGGGGCTGCGGCCGTGCAAGAGCCACAAGCGGCCCCCGAGGGAGGGGGCACGGGGCGGGTCCGAGCCGTGGCCGCCCTGCCCCACTGGCTCCGGGCGGGGCGGCGGGGAATGTGCCCCCTCTGTCTCCGGCCCCGCGCATCCCCCGGGGGTCACCGGGGGAGGAGGAGGAGGAGGAGGAGGCGGGGGCGGGCGCGGCGCTCCCCCGGCGCTGTTGCGATAGCGGCGGGCGGGCCCCCGGTAGAAGCGGCGGCCCTGGGCTGCTCCCCAGGCAGAGAAGCGGCATCGATCGGTCGCGGCAACAAGGACAGCAGCGACGAAAAAGAAAAAAAAATATTCAAAGTAATAGCGGGGGGGGGGCGGTCAGAGGGCACATCCCAACCCTACGTGACGGAGGAGCGGCATGAACCCCGCCCGCCACTTCCCTCCCCGGCCCGGGGGCTGCAGCCCCGCCCTGCCCCTGTCCCCCGCCCGGGGGGGTTTGGCTTGCGCCGGCTGCGGGGATAGGCCGGCTCGGGGAGGCGCCGCTATTTATTTTCCACCGAGATCACTTTGTTCGTGCTGGCGGAAAAAAAAAAAAAAAAAAAAGAAAAAGAAAAACATCACGGGTTTTGGGTTTTGTTTTTTGGCTTTTTGTTTTTGGGTGTTGTTTTTTTTTTTTTTTTTCTAAATCTTCGCGAGTGTTTTCCACGTTTAGCGGGCTGGGTTGCGCAGCCCCGCCGGGGCGGCTGCAGTCGCTGTGCGTGGGGCAGGAGGGCGGGCACGGAGCGCGCCCGGGGCGGACGGCGGTGTGTCCAGCGATCCCCGCAGCCGCCGGAGCAGGGCACGGGCAGCGCCGGCCGTACCCACTCCGGCCCCTCCGCCCGGCCCTGCCCGAGTCGGGGCCCACACTGAAGTGGGGCTGGCAGCCGGGGTCTCGCCCCCTCTCGCCGTCCCTCCCCAGCGCCGGCCCGGCACATGCCGGCGTTCTCGGGGAGCTTTCGGAGCGAGGGCGAGCCCGGGCGCGGCCGGGATAAACAACAGGATCGCGTTGCACCGGGGAGGGGGTTGGACCCTGGCGAGCCTCGCAGGGAGCTGTGCTCCCCCTCCGCCCCCGTTCTGTGTTCTTTTACGTGTTTATTTATTCCTCGCAAGCCCTGCGGCTGAGAACGCTGCTCCCCCGCATCCCCGGGCGGCGAGGTCCGCTCGCACCTTGGCGGGCGTGGCGGGCAGGGCCGGGCAGCCCCCGCCATCCCCCGCACCGCGGGCATCCCCTCCTGCACCGTGCGGTGCCAGCCCTGCCCGTGTCCGCCGGCGCCCGGCCCGGCGCGGCCCCGGCGGAGCGCGGCCGGTGCCTCCGGCGGCATCTGCCGGGCCCGGGGCGTGCGAGGCGCCATCTTTGATAGCCACGAGCGGCCGCACGGGGAAGATGCCCCGGGGCTCCGGTCACCGGCGGGGCCCGGCAGCGAGGCACCGAGGGACAAGCTCGGGAATACCGCGGATGCGCTGGCTCTCCGATGGCCGCCCGGAAGGTGCTCTTTAGGGCTCGAGTTTGAAGCCTTAGGAGTCAGAGTGCAAGAAATACCTCGAAATACCTCTTCTCTCTCAAAAAAACCCCAACCCCACCCCAAACCCCAAAAATATTTTGACACAGGAAATTCCGCTCTTTTACACGAAGAGGGCACATCATTCCCAATTACCATAGAGGAGACTCAGAAGCATTTTTATGTTGGAAAAGCCCTCTTCTGAATCCAGCTGTTAACCCAGCACTAAACGCTGTCCCGAAGTGCCACATCCACAGGCACTTTGAAATCCCTCCCGGGATGGTCACTCCGCCACTGCCCGGGGCAGCCCGTTCCAATGCCTGAGCACACTTCCATGAAGAAATGGCATCGTGGCACTAAGGGTGCTGCATCCTTTACTTTCATCTCCACCAGAGACCCGTGAAGAGATGGATGCTCAAAGGAAAACTGTTATTTCTTGCAGTCTTATTTCCTCCTGCGCCAGGCTGAGGGATGTTGAAACACACACTAATGAAGACCATATTTCTTATATATGGCAGTTTTCTTTATTGATTGCTTGATGTGAAACAATATCAATCTGGATTTTTTTTTCCCCACACATTACAAAAAAAATTTTAATTGGCTCAGTCTGCAATCTTTTAAGCACAGCCATATTAATTATGAGAAAAAAAAAAAAAAAGAAAAAAAGAGAAAAAAAACAAACTGAAAAAAACCCTCTAAAAAGTCTACCAAATAGAGCATTTACAAATGCACAAAACCACGCCACTTTGGCTTTATGGGGAAAAAATATTGTCTTCTAGATTAAAAAAAAATCTTTTAACATAAATAAGTTAGTATAATTTCTCAGTGTCTTTACAGAGTTATGTACACAGGTACACTTCAAACTTTTTTTTTTTTATTTTTACATACAGGTACACAGGCAACGTAGAAATACTGTTTAAAGATGTAGTATCCCTTTTCCTCTCACAGACAAACACTTCAGGAAGTGGGTCAGATCAGAAAACAACAATATTCCAGATTCAGAGCAAAAGCCTTCCAGATTAGGTTTAAAAAAAAAATAATAATCAGGCAATGTAATCAGGGGATGATTTTACACAACTTTTTACAGGCTATCAGTTTTGGTATGTGGATTTGGTGGGGTGGGAAGGTGGGGAACTTCTGCTACTACATAACGGAATCATCACAGCTCCCACCTCTTCAGTTCAATGCTGTAGGAAGAAATTTCACAGTAATCTGCTCTGAGCAGTTACCATGATGATATATTAAAAAAAAACCTTAAAAAATTAAAAAAAAAAAAAAAAAAAAAAAAAAAAAAAAAAAAAAGAAAGAAAAAACACTGTGGACCCACTTAAAGGGACAATACATCTTTAAGTAATAAAAAACCTACACTGCTTCTCTTCATGGATTTCTTGGCTTGCTAGATTGTGAAAGCAAGTTCCAATCAGTCACCCTCTTCCAGTCCCTCCCCCCTCCCAACAAGTTTTATGTGCTACATAAGGTAAAAACTATATACACAGGTAGTACAATGAAGCAAATAAGGAAACACCTAATTGCACAATGCTACATCCAATGCTTTTAGAGGCAGGTCTTTTAAGAGTGCCTAAAATTTAGTGTTATTGTTTTTGTTGCTGTTGTTTTGTTGCTGGTTTTTGTTTTGTTTTGTTTTTCAGTGCTTGTACAGGACCTCCATCTCCCGGAGATCGAGGATATGTATTTTTTTCCTTTCCCACTACAACTTTACATCTTCCTCTCTTCATCGCCGCCCGCCGCACCCGACGAACGAGGACGCGCACATCCTCTGCTCTGCAAGGGGAAAAATGAAGGGGGGAAAAAAGAAAAAAAAAAAAAACGAAAAGAAAGACGGGGGAAAGCGATTAGAAAACATCGACAAGAAACGCGATCCGCGGCGCAACCGGTTCAAACCGACACCGCATCCCCGGGGCGGGCGGGCCCAGCCCGGGCGGGGCCCCCGCCGCCCCCCCGCCCCGGGCCGTGCTCCCCGCACCGCTGCCAGCGGCCCCTCCATCTATCCACCCATCCATCCACCCCTCCCTCCCTCGGCGGGGAACGCGGGGGGACCCCTCCCGTGCCCCCACCCCCAAAAGCGGGCGGGAGTAGCGGCATTCGCATGGCCGCGCTCGGCCACGGCTCACCCCAGCGGGACTAATTTGTTGCAACTTCTGCTTTACAGCTTAATCTCTCTCTCTCGGCACAATCGCAAATCGTTTTTGTTGTAAACCTCGCTCCTAACCTCGGCTCCCAAACCGCCGGCGCAATTTTTACCAACTCTCTCCCCGCCCCAGCCCTCGCCTTAAAACAAAACAACAAAAACGGGGTAGGGGAGAAGGAAAAAAAAAGCAAAAAAGGAAGGGGAAAAAAAAAGAGCTTCACAACCCAGCCTCCCATTAACCCGCTCCCTTCCCCCTGCCAGCCTCTAAAACCAAACCAAAACAAAAAAAAAAAAAAAAAAAAAAAAAAAAAAAAAAAAAAAAAGGGGGGGGAGGAAACAACCCCAAACCAAACAAAACAACCTCGCATTGCTCGGATTTTGAGAAAGTGCCCGGATTCCCCTTAAACCCAGCTTCTTGACTTATTTCTCCAGCAGTGCGAGGTGGCCGCGACATGCGACGGCAAGGCTGACACTGGAGGTGAAACAGCCCCGGGGGCGGGGGACAGGGGAAGCCCCCCGAAATCCGCTGGCATCTGACATGATGCACCAGCCGCGCTTCCAGCTCCGTCCCTGCACCCGCACGGTCCTTGGGAAAGGGCTCTCCCTGTCCCCGGTGCCCATCCCGCAGAAAGGCAGGGTCAGTCCCACCGCAGCCCCTGCCCCAGCCCCCTGACGCTGCCGAGCCCAGGCTGGGCTTCGCTCCTTGTTTTGTTCTTTTCAAGCCCTGCGCCTCCCACTCCCCACCCTCCAACACACACCCATTGCCGAGCGCTCGGGGAAAGCCACCCTTCCTCGGAGAAAACACCCCTCGGCGAGCCCACAGGGGCTCTAAGCCCCCTCCCCACCCCCTTAGCTGCGGGATAGACACTCGGTCACCCCTTCTTTCCCTTACTTGCATCCTAATGCCAGACCCTAAAGGGAACTGACCTAAACGCTTTACGTTTGATGTCTTCCCGGGCTTGATTTCTTGGGTGTTTGCTCCACTGAACTGGCACTGGGGGAGTCTTCTGAAACCTCTTCTTCTGTTGTGTTGGCTCTTTTATTTTGAGGAGAGGAATCTACGAGGGGAAAATTAAAAACAAGGGGGGCGGAGGGGGAGGAAAAATATTAAAATATTTTCCTTCCAGATGTTTGCTCAGCATCCAGGGGGGATAGACGGAACCGAGGGGGAATATTCCCAGATCCCCATGTCAGGTATTGGCTGCGAACAGGGGGTGGGGAAATGGGCTTCTCCCGTAAATAGGAGACCCAAATTCCCTCTTTTCGGCTAAAATCCATATTCGTTTTTTGCTGAGCGCTGTGAACCTCCTCCCACCTGGGCAGGAGCCCGGGTCCCCGCAGTGGGGCGGCGAGGGGTCGGGGGATCTGACCCGCGTCTAAGGGCTCTTCCTTGCAAATCATCTACCGGCTCCCACTCTAGGCGGGACCCCCGGGACTGCAAACACTACCAGGGCTTTTTTTAGGGGGAAAGGGGCGGGTGGGGGGAGGCACACCGAGCCGGTGCCACGCGTGGCAGGGGCGGAGGGGCCGGAGCGCCGGCGCTGACACGAGTGGGACGCGGGGCAGAGCCGTGGGGTACGTTACCATCGGCCGCGGGTCTTTTCCTCTGGGCAGTGCACTGCTCTGCTAAGTCCGTCTGATTTTCTGAAACATCAGTCTTTTGAGCTACACAGTGAGTGTCCTCTGAGATTCCCTGAGAACCGACAAAAACCACGGTTTGGCAATTCCCGTTTACATCCAAGCTCTGGCGGCCGGCGGACTTGCAGACGGCTTTCCGTAGCCGGGGGGGTCTGAAGTAGAAGTCGGGCGAGCTCCCCTTCTCCACGGCTTGCCATTCGTACCTGCCTTCCAGCGGCCTGTGATTCTGGAAATCGAAATTCCACTTCCTCTGGTACGCCTCCTCCATCTCCTGCAGGTGTTTCTTGAACTCCCTGTTGAGCTCTTCGTGGTTCACCGGCCCGAAGAGGTTCCGGCACGCTGACGGCTTCGGGTACTCCGACTGCCTGGCCTCCATGCGCTCCAGGGTAGGGCTCCCATTAGAAATGCGGACGTTTGACATCTCCCCGCACGCTGTGGCTCCAGGAGGCGGTTGTTGTGCTCGCTACTCTCTCTCCGCGGCCTCCGCCGCCCTTTATTTCCCGGCGCCCGGCGGCTCCGCTCCGCGCCTCCGCTCCGCGGCCCCGCCTCGGCTCCGCTCGCCCTCGGCCCGCGGAGAAGGGGCGAGGAGGCGCCCTTGCATAAGCGCCGGCCCGGGGATGAGCCCCGAGAGCCGCCGCTGCCGCCGCCGGGGAGCCCCGGGCGGGTGAGGAGCGGAGCGCGGCGCTGCCCCCGCGGTGCCGGTCCGCCGCCGATGGCGATGGCGCTGGTGCCGATGATGCCCCTGCCGATCGCACCGCCGCCGCGTAGTAAAAGCGAGACGGAAAAAAACAAGAGACGAGCCCTTTTCTCGGTTGCCCAATATGGCGATTGAAGGGAGGCTGACGAAGAAGAAAATGATTGACAGCACGGGTCTATTTAAACAGCCCAGCCGCGCCATTGGTTACGGCGGCGGGCGCCGCCCCGTCCGCCCGGCCCTGCCCCGCAGCCGCCGCCGGCTCTAAAGGTGGGACGGGACGGGCTGGGAGCGGAGGGGAAAACGGCAGGGGCGGGATGGTATCGCCGAGTCTCTTCTCATCGTCGCTCTGTAAAGCCCGCAAAGCCCGGCGGGGTTTGTGCCACCCCAGAAAAACACGCACCCCATCCCGCCGCTGCCCCGAGCGCCTGAGGAATGGTGACGGCTGGGTTTGAGTCGGGGCTGTGACAGGAGCGTCCCGCCGCTCTGGTTTGCCCGGGTTGGGCGAGGGCGACACGTCCCCGACGAGGTCCGGGGCTGGGGGCAGGCTGAGCACCCCAGGGCATGCCGCGGGGACCAGCACCCTGACCCGCAGCGCCCTGAGCCCACTGCTGCGGAGATCGGGCTGCTGGCTCCTAGTGCCAAAACCATCATCTGCCCTCTCGGCAGAGAAAGGACTAGGTTAAGAAATGTCTCTAAAATAACCTCTGCCGGGATTTCAGATGTCAGCTACTCGGGGAAAGAAAAAAAAAAAAATAGCACTGGGGTTTGTCCTGTTTGCTCAAAAGATTAGATGAGCAAAGAGTCACAGCCAGGGATTTTCTAAGCAACTTCCTCGAATAGTCAGAGCAGGTGTGGTGGACGTAAGAGCAATCGTGCACTCCTCTCTGGTCCCCTTTTCTCCAGCTCTTTCCACAGGCATCTTCACTCACCAGGCAGGGCAGCCCCCCAGTGTGTTGTGTGACACTGTGGGTTCTCTCAGGCACTAAAGGTTATGACATTTCCAGGTGCCCAGATCCAGTGACTGAACATTTGGAGGGTCCTGAAGGCTCTTTACACCAATCCATCTGGGCAGGTCTCCTTTGCAAGCAGAGCAACCCTGCCCAAACTTCACGGTGGGAGGATGAGTGGGATAAACAAGTAGCAAGCTATCTCAACAAGGCAGGGGTCAATATAATGGGTTTAACTGGCTGAGATGACAGTCAGCAGGTTTGGCCTTGAAGACATGGAGATTTTACACACTGGAGAGAGGACACAACCTTCGCACAGTGCTCAAGCCCAGGCCAGCACTTTGCTGGCCATCATCAGACTCAAGGCCTCCAGCTTCTGCTCACAGCACTCAGCAGGGGAATCTCAGTATCATCAGACCCAAGTTCAAAAAAAAAAATTATGTGTACAGGCAAAAAAAATATCAAAAACAAAACAAATGAGATTAGTTTAAAAACCACAAGGTTGAATAACATTATTAGCCATGTTATTTTTATTTATATGCTGGGGGTTTTAGTACTTGGAAGTTGTTTTTCAACTGCTCTCAGAAACTACAAGTTTCAGCAATTCACTTGCAGAAAATTAAAGCTAATGTCTGCAGGACCTGAGATGTTTTTTTGAAGTTGCAAGTCCATGATAAAATTCCATCAACTGGAAAAAGTGGGCCTGCATCTGCTGTATTTGCAGGATTTCATCTTCATTTCTCTAGGCTTTCCTGTCTTTGACTTCCATTGCCACCAGCAAGGAAGCTCCTTTTCAAGCTTCATTTTCTCTGTCAGGTGTAGGGACACTGAGCTTGTTTTGTTGATCTGAACACGAGGAAGTTGTAACTAAATGATCTGCAGAGTGTCTGAGGATGCCCAGGGCTCATCCTGCTGATGGGGGCTTCCCTGCTGGTAACCCCAGACTCCTCAGGTGAGGAGTTCCCATTCTCGGCTCTCTGGGAGTCTCTGCTTGTCTCCCTAATCCACAACGGAAAGGCAACCCTCTTGTCTGTAGGATTATGACAGTAGTAACAGAGTGTAAACACAAACTAGGAAAAAGGAAAAAAGTGTGGGGAGTGTGGGTTTCGAAAAACTGAAACCTTTACTGCCCACGAGTAAAGCAGCAGCAACATGACAGCCGTGCAACAGAGAGCACTGATTTATCTGAAGCCTTTGGAAAAGGAAAAAAAAAAAAAAAAAAAAAAAAAAAAAAAAAAAAAAAAAAAAAAAAAAGAAGTTACTGTAGGACAAGAACCTTCTGGGGTTTTTTTGTTGTTGTTCTGTTTATACTTCCCTTAGCACAAGGGCCTGAGACTGAGTCCGTGGATGCTGTACAAGTATATTGAGCGCGAATAATTAAATACAAAGGGGAGGAGAAGAGGGGGGGTGGGGGAGGAGAAGAGGGGCGCGAATAATTTAAGCCGCTGATGGAAGCAACGGAGAAAATGAAAGAGGAGTGGTCTGCCCCTCTGTTTATTCCTCTATCCCTTCTCTATCACCCTGCCTCACTCTCGGAGGAACTGGGGAGAGGGAAAGGGGAGGCGATGTACCTCCGCAGCCGCGGTAGCTGCGCGTCTTTCCGGGGGCAGCACAACCCCCAACCCGCGCCGCCGGAAACGCTGGGGTCGCGCTGGGACAAATCATCAGGAAAAGGGGTAAAATTAAGGAGAAAAATTAAAAAATTAAAAAAAAAAAATCAGAGTGTCTCCCCCGGGGTGGGAGCATCCGCATCCTCGGAGCATCCGCGGCTGTGCTCTGGTTCGGGGTTGGTCCCCGCCGCTCTTTCGGCTCTCTCGGCTCGTCCCCACTCCTCTTCCACACGATCTCGGCAATCCACCTTAAATCGCTGCGGCTGCAGAGGGAAAGAAGACTGTGTCTGCACGACCTTGCCATGATCTAAAGTGTTTTGTTTACAGTCAGGCACCCCCGATGGCTGCAGCAAATCGGGACAGAGGCAGGCGCCCGCCCGTAGTAGCAGTGAAGCGTGGAAAAAAAAAAAATACAGGAAAAAATATACTCGAAAGTCCCGGAGCGAAGCTGTGGAAAGATCAGAGCGCCATCGTCTTGCAAAAGAGGGGCACAGCAGTGGGGCTGCGGGGGAGGCGGTGCGGGGAGGGCACGGGGACCAGGGCTGAGCCTCCCCCGCAGAGCTCCAGCCTCCCACAGCCGGCTCTGCCCCGCTCCGGGGCCGCCTCCGCTGGAGATGCGGCCAGTCAAAGATCGGAGGAGAGGATTAGAAAGGAAAACAAACAACAACACGAAAGCCCAAACCCCAAACAAAACTTGGAGAAGTGAAGCAGAAAGGAGGGAGGAGTGTTTGTAGGGGGGTCTGGGCGAAGAATGTCTTGGCTCCTCTAAGAGGCTCTGGACACCCTGTCCCCTCTCTTCCCACTACCCTCTCCTCGTTCTTGTTGGGCTTTTCCACTGGCAGAGCTGCTCGCTGTTTTTCTTTCCTCCAGAATCGCTTAGGCAAGTCTCCTGTCTCCTTTTTGGCCACCCTCCTTCCCCAGCACTTTATAAGGCTGTCCACTGAACCAGCAAAGCCCATCCGAACCACACACACAAAGCACCTGGGTTGCTCGGGATTTTACATATTCCCTTGCAAACAGGGGGGAAAT